AAAATAGTCGAAACCAAAGAAATAAATGTTTTGAAATAACTAAAACTCAAAATTATTATTTTATCAACTTAATGGAATTTAATTTCCTTTAGTAGCGTGCCTCCAATTTTGAGGAATATTTCCATTTCCTGTTGAATATGATTGGTTGCGAATTTACCTTTCTTTGAATGGAAAATTGTCATTTTCAATATTTCAAAACAGTCTCATATTTTGTGTTTCAACAGTTTTCTAATTGAGCTAGACTATCATGGAAACAAATGAACTATTTATACCCCAAATGTCAGTTTGAAAGTGAATGCGTCAAAAACAGTAACAAAATGCCTATTGAACGTCTAACTATTTAATATGGAATGATGCAATAAAAATGACGACCTCTAAAACCGTCCCCCGAAAGGCCTTTGCATACGTCCTCTAGCTCTCCTTGCTACTGCTCTGGATTGATAGTTTGGTGAACCAGTACCTCTACCACGTTCTGCAAACGAAATAATTACAACTAAAATATGCAAATCAAAACGAATATTGGTGATTTTTTATTCTTGAACTTCAGTGCAAAAGAACCAGTTTATTGTAGAAAATAATTTAAAGCTTGCTATATCCGTTTAGAAAAAAAAAAAAACAGAATTCATGAAATTTTGTGGGGAAGTAAGCTAGATTGGAATCTACTGTTGGTTAGGATATTGACCAAAATTGCCATAACGAAATTTGCAATGGCACTCTGAATAAACTTTTGAGTGTATTCTGAACTATCAAACTTGAACTGGAGAATTCACCGGGTTTCAACGGACCGAGTGTGACGTGACGAAAATAATGCTGACTAATATTCCAGGTTGATATATGAATAGGTTCATTATAATTCACACAAATAGACATCCATACATGTACATCACATGGTACATCGCTCACAAGTGTACAAAATATACTTGAGAAAAGAAACCCTAACGGTGGCATAGCACATATGTTTCATGTCGTTTTGTGTTGGTGTTGTCTCGGAAATTTTGGTTGGTTGCAATGTTTTTGTTTTAATATGTATCTAATATGTCTGAATTTTGACCAAAAACATCGCATGAGCATCACTCAGAAATTGTTAGATGACGTCAAAGGCGATCCAGCTGACGAATCATGGGCTTATGGTTAATACATCAAAACCAAAGTCCAATCGTCCTAATGGAATAGCCCAGGAGAGCCAATACCAAAAAAGCACGTCAAGATCGATCGAATGTCAAGATTTTGCTCACTGTTTTCTTCGATTACCATGGCGTAGTGCATCAGGAGTTCTGCTACATGGTCGTACGGAATATAAGGAGTAGTACCTTGAAGTTATGCGCGTATGTGACAAGCAGTATGAAGAAAATGTCCTGTATTGTGGAAAAACAATTTGTGGCTTTTGGCTCACGATAATTCAGCTGCTCACTCGTCATTGCTTGTTCGTAATTTTTCGGACAAAAACAACATCGTAATCATGCCTCATCCACCTTATTCACCACATGTGGCCCCCTACGACTTTTTCATGTTCCCAAGATTGAAAATACCCATGAAAGGACGACATTTTGCTACGATTGAGGAGATAAAAACTGACATACCAAAGAGTGCATATTATAAATGCTTCGAGGATTGAAAAAAATCTGGCACAAGTCTGAGGGGGACTACTTTGAAGGGGACAAAATCGAAATTGATGAATAACTAAACATTTTTGAGAAAAATTAAAATGCAACTTATTTCTTGAACAAAGTAGTATTCTACATACATTATAATTCATTTCCCATTAACTCAGGTTTTAGATTTACTTTGCAACTTTTCTGAACTACACACAAGAATTTCCTTGAATGATGTCTTATTCTCATCTTGGTAACCCTTTTACATTATTTACATTATACATATTTCTATTAACCTGACCTATCTGAACATTTCGTAAGAAGTCCTGAAATGTTCTTACTAGTTACAACTGCATTGCTTGTTGGACTTTCATTATTATGACCTAAACCCTAACCTAAATGAGGTCTACTAAACTCCATAAAACTCACAGACATTCAACAACGAATACATGGAATATTCATTTGAAATGAAATGTTATGATTGAATAATAATCAAAATATGTAGTGGTCGAAATATTTTATTGGAAATAGACAAGCGTTGCTGGAAAATACGTAAAATAATCTGAGAGTGGAACATAAGCAGACAAAAATATATGAAATCTAAAGAAATGAACTTTAAACGTTCAAGCCAGTCTCGATATACCTTCACAGTAGGTTGAATGGACTGACGCTATCAGAAAACAACTACTCCCCTGGCTAATACCACGAAGGGCGTTGGATTATATCCGACAGGCGTCAGTGCAGGAATCTTCAAAGAAAATTTCCTGCATATGCAATCGGCAATACAACTGAAAGAGTCGACCTTCAATTTTGGAACGGGCACACTTGCAGACCGGTCTGGGGCTCATTAGCCACTCGTCAGTGCAAGATAGTGATAATCCAACGCCCTTCGTGGTATTAGCCAGGGGAGTAGTGTTTTCTGATAGGCGTCAGTCCATTCAACCTACTGTGTGGGTATATCGAGACTGGATAGAACGTTTAAAGTTCATTTCTTCTATTGTCTATTGCCAGTCTTCGAGCATAGCCCACTGACATAGTTACAAATTGAGATACACTTCAGGAATACTAACACAAAGTAAATTATGTAGATTACTAGATTGTATTAACAAAAAATTTACCCCATCATCTCCTTCGAGCATTTCCTCTCCTTGCTCGAGTGGTGGCAATCCTTCCGACGATGTACCAGCAACTGGAGGAGGTCCCATACACTCTTCAGAGCTTCCTTCAGCGGGTGTTTCATTATCATCAGCATCTGCACTTATCATTATTGAAGGAATTTCTGCTGCAAAATCGATAAAAAAAATCAATTTCTGATGTGGTCACATTACTAAAACTTGATCCATAACTGGAGAAAGAATAATAATGACTATGATTCTATATCTATTCAATCAGAATAAATTGTCTCAACTCCAAAAACTTCAGAATCGTGGTATGAGGATCATTTTGAAGTGCCGTAGAGATACCCCTATACTGATGATGACGAAAGTCGAAAGCGCTTTGCAAGAATTTTAAAATATTATACACTTTAATACAAAACTTCTTCGATTCATTAATTCAAATAAGTGTATTCAGCTTTTCCAAATCCTTTTATAACACTTAAGTCTGGGGACCTTGCTGGCCACCTCACCGGCCCATTATTCCCTATCCATTTATCACCCAACCTTTCAGTCAGGTAATTAGATACTCGTCTGGTAGTGTGCGTTGAAGCACCACCATGTTGAAACCAGATGTTGTTATAGTTAGCCAAAGGTAGATTATCCAAACAGTCTTCGAAAATCGACACTAAAAACTGGTGATAGGTTTCTCCATTCAGAATTCCTTCAAATAAATGAGGACCCAAAATTCTATCTTTGTGAATTCCTGCCCACACGTTAATACTAAATCGCACTTGGGTTCAAATTTCTCGGGACTTCCTGGGGTTGTTTATGCTTCAAATGTGTTGGTTATTTTGGTTGAATACCCCACAATTCGTAAAAGTGCTTTCATTTGTCCAAATTACATTTTTTAGGAAAACAGAAAAATGAGATCTTCTTATTAGCCAATTACAAAATTCTAATCGCCTTTCATTATCACCTGGATGCAATATTTGAGATATGTGTATTTTTAAAAATTTAAACCGCTTTTTTGTGATGTCTTCAAACACTTTTATGACAAATATTCATTTCGGAGGAAATATGACATGTAGATTTCCCCGGGATCATGTTCATCTACAAATTAAAGAAAATTTGATAAATGAGGTGTATGTATGAGCTAAGACATTGTTTCCTTTTTTCCTCGGCTTTTAAATGAACCAAACTCGGTGAGATTTTGATCCAATAACTTGAACATAGTTCGATGTGGTTGTCGTCTTTCGGAATATAAGGTTAAATACATTTCCGATGTCCTAACACTGTTTATATCGTATTTGTAATAAATTTGTATCATATATCTTTTTTCTTCATTCGTGAAAGCCATTTTTCGCCAAAAATTCAATGACTTGTACAATAACAAAATTGAAAGTCAAATTTAGAAACATCAAAGTCAAAGCCTATTATGATAAGAATTAGTTTTTTCAATATCTTCAATTTTTCGAAAAAGAATGATAACTTATGATATATCATTGAAAAGGTAAAATCTGGTTCTATTCAAAGCAGAAAGAATCCAATGTAGCGTCCTTAAGAAAAAATAAAGTTGATGATGGTGGCCAGTATAGCAACACCATGAATTCACAACTCTTCAAAGTTTTTCTTGAATATTATAAATTCCCCAATAATATAAAATGCAGCAATTCAGTTAACAATTATTTTAAATCCAGATTATTAACTTTTGTGTGGCAATGAAGATGTGTTATTTTTGTACTCAAGTTTCTCAATGAAATTGTTATTAGGAGTGATTGTACAATTTATATGTTTCCACTGTTCCATTAATACTTAGCTGTTTACTACTGTAAATTACCAACAATTATATATGTATGGATACCTACCTTAATCAAGATTTATCTATCTATAATCCAAATATGATTTTTTATTGAAAAATCAATTATTGTGAAGTAAATTCATTTCATCAAGTCAAAATTACATTACTCATTTGGTTTTTTGTTCTTGCATTTTACTTAGCGTTAAATGCACTATATCCAATATTAACAAATTAATCTCGGTATGCACTTGTTTGGATTAGCCTTTCGCCTATGTGTGCACTAGATATATTGTTTTTGTGATGAATACAAAGAAACACAAGGCCTGAAGATATTTTCAAACAACCAACTTTACTGACGACTTTACATTCTATTTCTTATTTAGGGTTCATTTAAACACCTTAGTCCTTGTCTGTCTTAATTTTCGTCTCAAAAAAAGTTTAATGTAGGTATATATTTCCGTAAAAAATGTTTCATGTTCTTGTCTTAGTCTTTGTCCTTAAATTGTGACCCTGAAACTTCTCTAATTTCAACGTTAAGGACTAAGACCAGTAAGAGAACGTCAATGATAGACATGTCGCATTATTGACGTTGTCTTACTGGTCTTAGTCTTAAGTCACACTTCAAAGACTAAGACAAGGACATGAAATGTTCCGTAAATGATTTAACGGAGAAAACACATTTAACTATTTTTGAGACCGAAATTTAGACAGATACAAGAACTAAGATATTCGCTACGAAGAAGTTTTACATTTCAATGAAGATTTTGAGGAAATGCATCCGATACCATTGAGTAGGTAAATGTGCCCTGGTGGGAGATAATGACAGAGAACACAACAACATATTTTAACATTCACGTTTTTTCTTATGTTATCCGTATGTGCTACTGCAGAGCCAATAAGGCAAGTGTCTTACGGCGAAACATATAATCTCTAGCAGTGAGGATAACAGTGTTCCATGTAACTGAAATTTTACTTCTTTTATTAATTATATATGATAGGCATGTCGCATTATTGACGTTGTCTTACTGTGAATATCTGAATCAATTCCATTACGAATGTTTGGAATACAAACTGAGTAGAGAAAAGTGTATTTTGTATAATTCAGTGTTTATATAAAAGTATTTGTTTCGAAAGTAATTTTCTTTCATGTAATTCAATTTTTATATGAAAATAGCTGTTTCAAGGGGGCTTTTTCTTCCAGTTTGTGTCTGAAAGTTATTTCTTTGCACGATCTACACATTTTTGTATAGAATTAATTTTTTGAAAGTGAATGCTTCCTTCCCACATTTTTTGTATCAAGATGGAGAAGTAGAAGTCCAAAAACATTATTTCCCAAATATACCCTAACTACAGTACGAAACTTCAGAGGGTGATTCGTTAGGTCGTAAGGCGCTTATTTAGCCCTAACTAGATTAAAATTATTAGGTCCAGTGGAGTCTCAGTGAGGACAACAGCCAAAAATATTGGAAAAAAAAGTACACCACTTGTAGTTTTTAATTTTTTTGGATTAATCAACTAAAAATACAACTTTTTCGTCGCTTGTGTTTCCTTCACATCTAGCTTCGTTTTCGAGAAAAAAAAATTGAAGCCACTTAGCATATCATGAACATCTGTTTGGAGACCAGCTGACAGTGATAGTGTTGTCATATCGGTGAAAGTTAGAGTTGTCAATTAGCAGTGAGACCATCATGAATTATATTACTAACGCTGAAATGGCTGACATGCACTTTATGGTTTAGCAAATGGAAATGCGGAAGAAGCACGGACAATGTCAACAGACAGACCAGAGTCAGTACCGAAACATTTAAAATACCGTTCCACTCCACAAATTATGGTTTTTCTCTCCTGTCACTCGAATGCTCAGAAATGGGAATATGTATCAACAGATTGATATCTTTAGCAGCTCCACAAATACCTTCAAAATTGAACTGAGTCGCATTATTTCCTGAAACTTTAATGTGCTAAAACATTTAGAAAGCTACATGCAAGATTATGTGAAACTGGGTGTTTTAATGAAAATGCAGGTGGTGGAAGACCAGAAACTATAACAACGCCTGAATTAGAAGAAGCTATACTTGATGCGGTGGAAGTAGATCCTTCAAATAGGAAGATTGCACTGCAGCTGGAAGTTCAGCCCAAAAACCGTATGGACAGTTCTGAAAAGAAACCTATACCCAGATCACATACATCGGGTCCAAGCTCTACTTCCTTGGGATTTTCACCCAAGATTAATGTTTTGCATGTGGTTGATTCATACGATGGCACACAATAATAATTTTTTATCAAATATTTTATTCATAGACGAAGCAAACTTTTCACGAGATGCTATTGTGAACTTTCACAATAACTGTTTTTGGGCTGACGAAAATCCCCATGTTATTAGAAAAAGTCATTTTCAGCAACAATTTTCGTCGAACGTTTGGGTAGGAATGATTGGTGACTACCTAATTGGCCTATTTTTTTTCTACCAGAAAGATCAACAGGTGAATCCTACACGGACTTTTTGCGAGATCATTTAGTCATTTTGTTAGAAGTGCCGGTGCTTGTAAGAGGCAACATGTGGCTTATGAACGACTGGGCTCCAGCTTATTGCAAAATTGGCCAACTTACAGTTCCTATATTAATCCTCTAGATTTCTATTTATGGGGTCATCTGGGGTCTTAGTTTATAAAACTCTTGTACTAGATGTGAATTACTTGAGGAATTGAATAATTGACAATTACAATGTCATAAAGAATACTCCAATCAATGACAAATCGATTGCAATCGTGTATTTTATCAGGAAGGTGGACATTTTGCACATTTACTTTAAGGTCGAAATTGTTCATTATTTACTTTTGGTTTTTATTTCATGTTGTCCATGGATAGTTTTTAGAAGTGATTTTTTTTCTCTCGAAAACGAATCTTGATATGAAGAAAATACAAGCGACGAAAAAGTTGTATTTTCAGTTGATTAATCTAAAAAAAAAACTGCGAAAAGTCAGTGACGCTCCTTTTTTTCTCAGTATTGTTGGCTGTGATGCGCCACTGAACCTAATAATTTCAATCTAGTTCGGGTTAAATAAGCGCCTTATTACTTCAAATCAAAGGATATTTAAGATATTTTATAAATGTCGCCTTTCAACGCCCTGTATTTCAGAAACGAACCAACTTCGGAATATGTTCATAGGAACTTTTTTTCTTAAACCGACCTAACGAATCACCCTCTGAAGTTTCCTACCGTAGTTAGGAAACAACATTTTAGTTCCTATTCAAAGATATTTGTCTCTATTCTTTTTTTTCTGCAAATTATAAGGGGTAAGTAAACTTGTTTCATTTTTATTATCAGAAATATTACTTCTATTCTTCATTCCTGAATTTACTGACAATTTTCAAATACAGGCCCAA